CCTTCCCGCTCTCCCGACCCGTACCCTCCCCCCTTCCCCCCGTTCCCCCGTTCGCCTCCCCTCGCCACCCTCACGCAGTCCGAGCTACTGGACGAGATCATGGACTTCGGGTATCCGCAATTCATACTCCCCCTTCCCTCTCCCGACCCCGCCCGTCCCCATCTCCCCATCCCACCTCCCCTTTCCGTCCTCCCCTACCCTTCTTGTCTCCCCTGTGTCGCCCCCACACAGTACGAGCTACTGGACGAGATAATGGACTTCGGGTACCCGCAATTCACGGAGGCGAAGATTCTGAGCGAGTTCATCAAGACGGACTCGTACCGGCTGGAGCTGTCCACGCCCAAGCCCAACATCGCTGCCGTCACCAACGCCGTCTCCTGGCGTAGCGAGGGCATCCGTTACAAGAAGAACGAGGTGAGCGCGTGGGGGGAGGGGAGGGGGGAGGGGAGGGGGGAGGGGAGGGAGGGGAGGGGGTGAGCGTGCATGGGCCAGGGTGGGTGTGTGCATGGAACGGGGTGAGCGCGTGCGTGGGTTGCAGGGGCAAAAGGTGCTAGAGAAAGAGGGCGCTCCTTGCAGTTCATCAAGACGGACTCGTACCGGCTGGAGCTGTCCACGCCCAAGCCCAACATCGCCGCCGTCACCAACGCTGTCTCCTGGCGTAGCGAGGGCATCCGCTACAAGAAGAACGAGGTGCGCGTTTAGGGGGAGGGGAGGGGGGAGGGGGGGAAGGGGGGTGAGCGTGCATGGAACGAGGTGAGCAAATGCAAGGGTTTCAGGGAGACGTCTGAATTGACTCAGAAGTCGCCTGGAGCTGTCCACCCCCAAGCCCAACATCGCCGCCATCACCAACCCCGTCTCCTGGCGCAGCGAGGGCATCCGCTACAAGAAGAGCGAGGTGAGTGCATGCGTGGGTATCATGTCCAGGTGCTATGGGGAATTCTCCGTGCAGTTCAGGATGTCATGTATTGAGTGCATTCCACCCTGATGCTTTCACCTGTTTGCAAGCCTGGTCATCAGATGCTGGGTTGCCTTGTCTTTACCTTCATCTTTCTCACATGACATCTTTATTTCCTTTCTTGCCAGTGTTCGTGGACGTGTGTGTTAGTGTTTTGATTTCCAGACTCTTAGCTGTTTCAAGCATCTGCTTCCTTATCTCCCGTTGAATGTCTTTCTCTTTATTCTCAGGTGTTCCTGGACGTGGTTGAGAGTGTGAACAACCTGGTGAACAGGATCTCAACTTGTTATTGGTCCCCAATGTCTCATCGGATCGGATCCACTTATCCCGTTCCTTGCAGGTGTTCCTGGATGTGGTTGAGAGTGTCAACATTCTGAACATCTGCAGACTCGTAACAGCTCCAAACGCTTGCTTTCTATGCCTTATTGGATGTCTCTGTCCTTATTCGCAGGTGTTCCTGGATGTGGTTGAGAGTGTCAACATTCTGGTGAACAGCAACGGTCAAGTGGTGCGGTCTGAAGTTGTGGGCGCCCTCAAGATGCGAACGTACCTCAGGTGAAGACAAGAATGGATTGGAAGAAAGGGGAAAATAGGGGGAAGAAGGGGGAGTAGAGAGGAGTAGGAGGAAAGTGGGGGTGATGGGTTGGGAGGGATGGATGTGGGAGGGGGTTGGGTCAGGGAGTGTGACTTTGTGTCTTCTTGACCCATTCCTTTTGACTTTGGTCCCCTCCCAGTTGCTTGCCAGAGTGCAAGCGAGGGTCAACAATGCCAGAGGCACTTCTACAGGACCCAAACTTGCCTCTTGTGTCTGATCCTTCCCGTTCTTTCGTCTTCAACCTTGGTCCCTTTTCAGTGGCATGCCAGAGTGCAAGTTGGTACTGAACTGTCGAACTTGTCCGTCCCTGCTCCCTCTTTCCCTCGACCCCTCTCCCAGTGGCATGCCAGAGTGCAAGTTGGTACTGAATTGTCGAACTTGTGCGTCCCTGCTCCCTCTTTCCCTCGACCCCTCTCGCAGTGGCATGCCAGAGTGCAAGCTAGGGTTGAACGATCGAGTGCTGCTGGAGGCACTTTCAGAGGACCCAAATGATTGATCCTTCCTACTCGTGCAATCCTTCCTTCCTGTTCGTTCTTTCGACTTGACCTCTCCCAGTGGCATGCCCGAGTGCAAGCTAGGGCTGAACGATCGAGTGCTGCTGGAGGCACAGGGCAGAGCGACCAAGGGCAAGGCCATTGATCTGGACGATATCAAGTTCCACCAGTAAGTAGTTCTCCTGTGCCCGCTGTATTCCCTTCATGCATGCCCATACATACACACCTGCGCTCATTAACTATTCAACACCCCATCATGGTTGAATTCCCCTCTCAAAACGTTCCATTATCCGGTCTGCATGCTTAGCTGTTGCCTATGTTTGCCTCCCCTGTCATTGTATCCTCAGGTGTGTGCGACTGGCTCGGTTTGAGAATGATCGGACCATTTCTTTCATCCCACCTGATGGGGCATTCGACCTCATGACCTACCGGCTCAGCACTCAGGTCAGATGCTCCTGCTGCGCAATCCCTCACTCTACCTTTCCCTCCTCTGTTAGTCTCCCAGTCTTGCGCGTTTCTCCTGATGAGGCCATAGTTCTCAACCATGTGATTTATACCAAGCCATGTGTTTTTATGTGCTGCCTGCTACTTGCATGCACGTATGCATGCGTGTTCCGCGGTTTCCTGTGCCACCAGGTGAAGCCCCTCATTTGGGTGGAGGCGATGGTGGAGCGGCACTCGCGCAGCCGAGTGGAGTACATGGTGAAGGCTCGGAGCCAGTTCAAGGAGCGGTCGACAGCAACGTCGGTGGAGATAGAGCTGCCGGTGCCCATGGACGCCATTGACCCCGCCGCCCGCACCTCCATGGGCACCGCCACCTACACGCCCGAGAGGGAGGCCATCCTCTGGAAGATCAAGTCGTTTCCTGGAGGGAAGGTATGTATTGCTTTCTCTGCCTGGTTGCATCTCGAACCCAGGTATGCATGTGCACCTCCATGGGCACCGCCACCTGCACGCCCTAGCGGAAGGCCATCCTCTGGAAGATTAAGTCGTTTCCTGGAGGGAAGGTATGTATTGCTTTCTCTGCCTGGTTGCATCTCGAACCCAGGTATGCATGTGCACCTCCATGGGCACCGCCACCTACACGCCCGAGAGGGAGGCCATCCTCTGGAAGATCAAGTCGTTTCCTGGAACCTAGGTATGCATGTGCACCTCCATTGGCACCGCCACCTACACGCCCTAGCGGAAGGCCATCCTCTGGAAGATTAAGTCGTTTCCTGGAGGGAAGGTGAGTGCTGCCTTGTTGCATATCAGACCCTGCTGCCCGCACCTCCATGGCCTATGGGCACTGCCATCTACACGCCCGAGAGGGATGCCATCCTCTGGAAAATCAAGTCTTTCCCTGGGGGAAAGGTGAGTGTTCCCTCGTTCTTGTAACTCCCTTGAAGAGTACCCGTTTCAGCATGCCAAGTGTGGCAGCAGAGGTTGATCTTTGGGGGGATTCTGTAACTCTGTACCCCCCATGTTATCTAACCCTTGGATAGCCGTGTTCCCTCTCCCCTGCGCTCCACGTCCCTTCAGGAGTACCTGCTGCGTGTCCGTTCAGCGTGCCCAGTGTGGCAGCAACTGTTGACGAGTTGTGGAGTGACTGAAAATCCCTGCATTTCGTTGTTCCCTCCCCCCACCCCTGTTCTTGGCGCCCCTTCAGGAGTACCTGCTGCGAGCGCGTTTCAGCCTGCCCAGTGTGGCAGCAGAGGATGACGTGGCAGAGAAGAAGGCTCCTATTCGCGTGAAATTTGAAATACCCTATTTCACAGTCTCTGGCATCCAGGTGAGAAGCCAGGTTGTTTGTCAGGTGCTCAGGTGACTGGCCGATTGTGCTAACTGTTGGGACGTGTCATGTGTGGTTTTCTTTGGTAGGGGGTAGGGGGGGGGGAAGTGAGGGGAGGGGGGAGGTTAACTCTTATCACAATCTGTCCTTTTCTGTTAGAGCGGCAAAACCAGGTGTTCAAGCTTGAAGGGAAGGTGTGTCGATATCTTTCAGTGTCTCGTTCATCAAACCCTCCTTCCCCTGCTCGTATCCCCCTCTCCCCCTTAGTCGCCGCAACCTATCCCCTTCTCTTTCATTCTGCATGCATCCAGGTGCGTTACCTCAAGATCATTGAGAAGAGCGGTTATCAAGCGTTGCCATGGGTGCGTTACATCACAATGGCTGGCGAGTATGAGCTGCGGATGATATGAGGTGAAACGGCGAGGCTGCCTAGATCTTCCATAGAAACGAGTCTTCAATCGTCCCATCATATGCATCACTCCATTCAGCAGAGTTACTGTATTATGTGGATCTCAGTAGCAAACGGTCCTAATACTCATACGGTACGACCAATCGTGTGTATGTTGACCAGGGGCACATCTTGATGTACACCAAATGAATTCTGCAGTGGTTGGTGTGGCGTTAGACTTGATGTATCAGTATATCAGAAGCACACACTACAGATACCCTAGTGGAGGGGGTTCCAAACAAACCAACAGCACAACCAGAGCACACAGCATCTATCAATGCCTGCAACCGAGGACGACGCATCACTAGGCATAGCATTCATCCCAGTCAGTTGCGCAGGATGAGGACTTGTTCATGGCCTGGTGATCCACCTTACATGGGCTGCAGTCCGGTGATGGTCAACTTGCATGGACGGTCACTGGGATAGCTTCCCAAAAGAGTGCATGAAAAGAACCCATGCTTTATTACCATTCAAGCTTACATCCACCCACTACAGCAAGCAACCTACTCCTGCCATATCCCCTCCCCCCAATTACTGCCCCCCTTCTCCCACCCAACCACCCAAATGACCAAGCGAATTGGTTTCCAACTGACCAAACGACCCTAGTCACTGTTCTAGACCCACAGCCCACTTCTACCGATGATAATCAGAAACTCCCAAAAATCCCCTGCCTCAGAGTCTGAATCTGGAGTTATTTACCAAAGAGTGGCATGTGGTCGAGTGCACAACACAAGCATTTAGCAGTCGTCCTTGCAGTCATCATACTTGTCCTCGCAGTGGCCCCTCTTCTTGGAATAGCACTGGCGCCTGTAATACTCACACCAGTCCGTACAGTCCCACTTGCCGTACTTGCACGCCTTAAAGCTCCTATACGCCTTCACCTCGCACGCCTTGGACTTCTTCTCGCACGTGTCCTTGTCGTCGTTGCACTCGGCCTTGTCCTCGCATTTCTTCTCGTCCTTGTCGCACTCGGCGTAGCGCTTCTTGTACTTCTCCATGCACGTCGGCTCGTCGTCATTGTCTTTGTTTTTGTCGTGTTTGTTGTCGTGGTGATGGTCGTCGTGGTGGTCGTCGTGTTTGCCGTCGCGATGATCGTCTTTGTGGTCGTCGTGCTTGTCGTCGGTCAGAATGCGCCTGTCCCCACTAATGAGAGCAGGGAAGCGCCGCTCTGCACTCACAGATAAAGAGACTCGTTACATAGTACATAGAAACAGAAACTCCATGGCACGTGACAGACTAAAATCATGTACCCTTTCATTGAATCATGGTGGAAAAGGGGGTGCAAGCTTACTTCCACAAACTATGTGGGACATGATAGTACGTGGTTCAAGTTGAACCAGTCCCTTAGTACGCGCATGTATTTTGGCGAGAGACTTACCGAAGACAGCAGGAGCGGGATCTGACTCAGAAACTGCGTTCGCATCCGCCACAGGCGTCGCGGTTATGGCGAGCATTGCGCACAGGAGAACCAGGTCGGAGAGCAACGCGAAAGTCTTCATGGTGTCAATAGTAACGGCGACGAACTAACACTACTGACGACGCTCCGCGATGGCTGAATTTAGTAGAAGACAGATGGAAAGCTGGTCAAATGTCGTGATCTTGGAGATTTTGCTGCTATTTGGGAAGAAATAAGGGCATATTTATAGTCGTGAGCCGTAAGCCAGAACTGAATTTCCCCATATTTCGTGTAACCGCGTCGCGATTCATGGCTGCGTGGGTGGATTCTAGCGGGTGAGGAAGGACTCCTTCCTCGGAGACGCGCGCGAAGGGGGAGGTTCTCCCGAGGGGCGAAAAGTGGTGTTGGCAAGATTTGGGGCGAAATTGGTGACGCAATCGCGACTCGCCGACGACGCATGCGGCTTGGTGGCGGCTCGGCTGATTAATGATGTCCACTGTAAAGAGTACGCGGCAGTCAGTCGGCCAGAAACGACAGCTTCAGCCTGCGAAACTAGGCAAAGGGCGAGGTTGTCTCTGATATTAGCTGACTTGGTAAGCGTCTCGCATCGCACTCAAACATTTGAAACTTCAGCTAAACTACCCGAAATCCCGGAATGAAAATCACAGTTTCTTCCACCGCTCTCCACCCCACTGATCGCGCGTCACTTCGCTTGAGCCGAATGTTTGTGGAGCCCGAATATGCCCTGAAACTTTCATCAGCTCCCTCAACCCCAGCCTCCCTCCAAGGCTAGACTCGATTCGGTTCGGGAACGAACCTGGCTGCTTCGCTCAAAAGACGGCGGCGGCTCGCCTCTGGATCAGGTGGCCTTCGCCTGACGGACTTGGTTTGGGGCAGGGAAGGCTCATTTCTTGACGACGGAAGGTGAGCGCCTTGCGTTGCGATATACCAAGTTTCGAGACTAGCGTTCACAAAACATTTCACTCCAGACCAGTGCATTCTACTTTTACTCCGTCATTTTGTAAATTTGAAAGGAAGTAAGATGTACCATGATATCACGTGTGGCCCAGATTCCGATATCCCACTCGCCCACACCCACACGACAAGGCGTCGCGTCGCCGTACTTTTGCGCCTTAGGGCGAAGTCTTGTACGCCCACTGCGGTTAACTTCGTTTCAGCACGGTGCAGAGAGGTTCATGTCGAGAACCGCTTTCAACCGTTTCGGACCGTCCTGAATCACGATACAAGAACTGCAAACCCATGAGAAATGTATAACCTGACGTCGCCCTAAGATTTATGGGCAATTACCTCCGCGGTAACACTCATTGAGCTCGTTCGCACGGAAGGTTAGCCACGTGTCCAAATCGTAACAAAGGTATCTTCTCATCGCCACCGTGGTAACCAACATTTCCGAAATGGTCAACATTATTGCCTGAATGGTAATGAACAGTGCTTCCGGAATTCCTGGCTGGTAACTTCGCGTTCGAACTAAGCTGTACACCGTACAAGTAGGGCTTGACTCAGCAAAACTGAAACTGATGTCACGGTACAGCACAGAATGCACATGAACGCTTACAAACGCAAAGCGTTACATGCAAGTATGCGATACAATCAACTATGACAACAAAATCAAGATTAAAAAACTTAAATAAACATTCTTAACAAAGCATATCATACAATATTTGATACTTAGGAAAATATTTTTTTGTCTTTTTATACAACTTTCATAGTCTTTATGCAAAATCTGAAAAACTCACATCGATATTGTAATTTTTGTATATTGATTTAGATCGAGCTCTGAAGATTCTTAAATAAAAGTCTTGTTGAGTAAAATAATCTGCTTCATAATAGTTGTCACTATCATAGTTTTGCGTTTTGACATAGTTCGTAATTTTTTGTGGCGTTTGATTGGTAATAATGCATTCGGTTTTTAATCAGATTTCGAGCTAGCATATGGAGTTTTAATGTGCGGGAATATAAACGCCAGTATTATAACCCGAAATGCGCATTTTGTGGAGTACATGTGGACAATCAGTTTCGTTTCGGCTGAGTCAAACCCTACTTGTACGGTGTACAGTTTAGTACGAACGCGAAGTTACCAGCCAGGAATTCCGGAAGCACTGTTCATTACCATTCAGGCAATAATGTTGACCATTTCGGAAATGTTGGTTACCACGGTGGCGATGAGAAGATACCTTTGTTACGATTTGGATACGTGGCTTATTTTCCGTGGAAACGAGCTCAGTAAGTGTTACCGCGGAGGTAATTGCCCAAGATTTATTGTACGCATTTGACTCGCAGCTGTCAATCTTCCGCGTGCATGCGGAGCTGTCGTACGACGGATCGTTATAGTCGCAGCACTTGTGTTCCCTCCTGCATTTCGACTGGCTTCTCTTAAATTTTCCCAGGCAAGACGAGTCGTAGCTGTCGTCGTTGCTGTGGCGAGGAAGAGTGCTGCTCCCGACGCGTGAGAAAGCGTTGCTGACGCACGACATGTTTTGTTTGCGGCGCTGCGTGAAAGGGAGACTCTCCAAGGATTTTTTTTCATTCAGAGGTTGTACTAACGCCGTTTAGGGACGGCGAGGAGCAGAGCGGAGAGCAGGACGAGCCCACATAGGAGGGCGGAAGCCTTCATAGTGACTAGAGGCGAATCCTAGGTCACTGGTGATCAAATAGTGGTTTCGCTTTTTGAAGGAATAACTCGGCATGGGGGATGAATCTGAAATATGTGGGAGGGGGATGCGGAACGCGAGTACCCAAGCCCATCTCTGGCGAATTTTGACAGCCAGATTAGGTTACCGGCTCGTTTCAACATTTAGGCGCATGGTTTTGGCTTGGAAGCCGACCTGCTTGCACCATTCGTCCGAGGAGCATCTACTACTTCGGTCTGGCCCCCACTGGACGATCTACACGCCGTGCGGCTGGTGTTCGGGGTATGTGGTGCGATGCTCGAGGAACCACGTCTGCGGGAGTGGTCGGTCAGGCTTTGTGTGAGCAGGAAAGGGATGAAAGCAAGAAAACCGGATTCTATAAAAAGACATACAATTCGAGAAAGCAACCAGGTCGGAAGTGTGTATTCTCGCCCTGATTACGTGGCCAATTCTACCTGACCGAACCCACACGCCAAAAGTACTAGGCGGATTTTGGTGCAGCTCAGCCTCCTAGCTGGCCCCAAAACATATCAGCAGCCCTGGCCCTCTAGCAATAACACCAAGCACAAGATAACCAAAGACACCCCAACCAACATCATTTCCTGGAAAACTAAATTTATTCCCACGAGCGCAACACTACACTCCTTCCCTTCCGGGGTGGTTCTTCCAAAATCGTGTCAATCGGAAAAGGTAGCCCTCCTTGCACTCGATCTTTATTTCCCATCACACTCCCAAAAACCGAAAAACGTCAGCATGGTCTCCAAACGTGCGGCGACGTCCACTAATCGCAATTGTTCTGAATGCAGTTGTTGTACTTCCCGCCGCAGCTGCCCCGATGGAACTCTATGCAGCGATCGTAAAGCGCCTTGCACAGCTCCTTGCAGGTAGGCTTTGGCGGCGGGGGGTACTTGCAGTCCTTGTAGTGCTTGTACGCCTTGGCGAGGCATCGTTCGGTATTGCTTGTGCAGTCGTCCGATGCGCACTTGTGATTCTTCTGGCACTCCTTGCTCGCTTTCTTGAATTTCTCCATGCAGGTCGGGCCCGAGGCTTTAGCAGTCAGTAAGCGCCTGCTTCCCTCCTCTGCGAGAACACGTACGGAAATTCCAGGGTCAGTTAGTGTCAAGTTGTGATAAAATATAGAAACTGCCAGCAGTGCTTCGCGTCACGTATATCAATCGAAACTGCGAAATTAGCGGAATAGATTGTCTTTACCAGGGACGGCATAACTAGAAACTGCCTGATGCCCTAAACCCTGCATGATTGGGTGCGAGAGGCTTACCAGGCACAGCTGGAGTGGCATCGAACGCAGAAACTGTGTTCTCCTCCGCAGCGGAAGTTATGGCGAGGAGTGCGGACAGCAGAACCAACCCGGAGAGGAGCGCGAATGTCTTCATGGTGGCAGGAAACTGGGGCACTGGCACCGGGGATGGCTGAGTTTAGGACGATAGATGGGCTGGAGAAATGGCGTGACCTTAGAAGATTTACTGCTGTTTTGGGGAGATATTGGGAGCATATTTATAGTCGTAAGCCGTAAGCAAAGACTGGATCTCCCCACATTTCTTGGAATCGCGACATGAATCATGGTTGCGAATGGCGATGACGAGAATCGCGACTGGTGATGTTCTCCCGAGGCGCGAGAAGCAGTGTTGGCAAGATTTGGGGAAAAATAGGTGACTCAATTGTGACTTGTGCGACGACCGTCGTCAGATGCGTGACAGATACGCCTCAGCTGCTTGATTCGGTTCGCAGTGTTGGGTACAGACAGGCACTCTGCTACAAAAGACCGCCTCTCAGCCTGCGCCATCAAGAAAAGCATACAACACGATTAGCTGACTTGGTAAGCGTCTCGCATCGCAGTCCAACATTAGCCAATTTCAAGCTGAGCTACAACAGCAATGAGACGGATCTTGCTTGGACCTGAGATGTATGCACAAGGCCCGAGACGCACAAGGCCTTCAGCCCGTAACTTTCACCAACCGCTTTTCCCCCAACCTCCCATCAAGGCTGGGTGGGGGACCTCGAGATTGGGGAACGAACCTGGTCCTTTCGCTCAAAAGACGGCGGCGGCTCGCCCCTGGCTGAGGTGGCGCGCTTGCTTCGGCATACAATGCAGCAGTACAGCACTTCGAAGAAGCTAGGCTTGCGAAGAGATCTGGTCAACATCCGACTCGAACCTAACCTCCTGACTTTGGTGGTGCGATATACCCAGTTTCGTAACATACGAAAAATAGGTACAGTCTATTTTCCACTCAAGTGATGTTTGTAGTTTGAACGAAAAATATGGTAGTTCCAATACATTAGGAAAGATTTCGAAACGCTTATGCAGCCTTCGGAAACCTTTTCATTAGATCATTTCCCAAGTACCTGACCCTATTTTCCTCGTTCAAACACACAAAAACGTCACAATTTCATGCTGTCCCAGGAAACAAATTTTATTCCCACTCACCCCTGAACGAATGCAACACTGCATGCCACCCAACTGCCTTATCCCAGCCACCATCACACTGCGACTCCGCCTCGTTTCACTTTCTACGTCATTCACGCACAATTCAACAATACCGCACAATTCAACAATCACTCTTGCAGCGCTTGTACTTATAGTCGCAGTCTTCATCGTAATCATCCTTGCACTGCTTCTTTACGTACTTGCACCAGTCATAACAGCTGTTAGACGACGAGGGCTTCGCGTCTCCGTACTTGCACGCCTTGAATTTCTTGTACGCCTTCGCCTCGCAACTGTCAATCTTGCGCGTGCACTGGTAGCTGTCGTACGACGAGTCGTTAAAGTCGCAGCACTTGTGATTTCTCCTGCATTTCGCCTGGCTTGTCTTAAATTTTCCCAGGCACGACGAGTCGTAGTTGCTGTCGTCGTTGCTGTGGCTTAAAGCCCGCCTGCTCCCCAAAGGAGAAACACCGTCTGCAGGCACAGACAGGGCATTTCAATCTGACGCGTGAGAAAGCGTTTCTGGCGCACGACATGTTTGCTTGCGGCGGCGGGCTCCTTGAAGGAGCCTCTGTAAAGGGACGGCGTGAAATAGTTATTTTCCAAAATTTCTACTCACCAGGGACGGCGTTAGCAGCCAGGAGCAAAGCGGAGAGCAGGACGAGCCCGCAGAGCAGGGCGGAAGTCCTCATAGTGACGATAGGCGAATTTTATGTCACTGGTGATCTAATACAGTACTACTATTCCCTGGTTGAAGGAGTAAGGTGGCGTGGGATAAATAGTTGCGAACCCTGCTGCGGGGGGGGGGGGGGGGCTGAAATTTGTGGGTGGGAGGCGAATGCGGAACGCCAGTACCGAAGCCCACCCTTGGCGAATTTCGACAGACAGATTGGGTTAGCGGCTCGCTACTACATTTTGGTTCGGTTTAGGTTCACGGTCTGGCTTGGAAGCCGACCTGCTTGCACCATTGGTCCGACGGGCATCTCTCTTGGTCTGGCCCCCACTGGGCAATCGACACGCCGCGAGGCTGGTTGAGGGGGGTCTGTGGTGCAGGAGGAACCACGTCTGCGGGAGCGGTCGGTCAGGCTTTGTGTGGACTGCAAGGGGATTTGAAGGTTTTGTTGGGGCCATTTTCAGGTACGAACTTCATTTGCGTGAAAATGTACTCATGTGTAATCCATGTTACTGTGCAGGTACGAACACCGAACTCGATTTTAGGTCTTGCTCCTGATAATGTCTCTTCCATCCGATATCCCAATTACAAATAACACAAACAGTCACAATCACACGCGATTTCGGATCACGCCAAGCAAAATCCAAATTGTCTTCTCATATTTGCCCAATTTCGACGATAGCAACTGCGTTGTACCAGGAGTTTTGTAAAATAAAAGTTATGCTGGATCGGCTGTACTGCTGACGCAGGTCAAGGGACAGTACGCCGAGCAAATCACCATTCACTTCTCGGGCGCGCACCCCGACACACGAGAAACTGCACGGGTGATAACAAGATTTACCCTCACTGTAAAAATATAATACACAGCTGGATTTTTTTTTTCCACACTAGACGAAGAGACCAGAAAAAGAAAACCCAGCTGTTAGTTTCTACGATGGGGGTCTTCTAAAACATTACCCAGGCAGTTTTTGGTATTTCGGGGTGCGCGCCCAAGAAGGGAATGATGATTTGCCCAGCGCACCGTCCGTCACCTGCGTCAGCAGTACAGCCGATCCAGCATATCGATTCTTTCACCAAACTCCTGGTACAAAAAAGGTATTATCGTCGAAATTGGGCAAATATGAGGGGACAATTTGAATTTTGGGTAGCGTGATCCGAAATCGCTTTTGATTGTTTGTGCTATTTCGAATCGGATATCGGATGGAAAGGCATAATGGGGAGCAAGACTTAAAAACCGATTTTGGTGTTCGCACCTGCACAGTACCGAGGATTACACATGAGGATTACACATTATTTTCACGCAAATGTAGATCGCACCTGAAAATGGCCCGGAGTTGTTGGGATCAAGGGCACGGTGACAGCGTCAGGTGGAATTGTTGCGCTTGACATGAGAGGAAACCTGGAGGTCGAACCTGAAGGTCAGCTCGGACACTTGACGGTACTTGACCGGCATTGTGTGGTCAGGAGAAATTTGGAAGGACAGGGAACGTACAGCCCACCTCAAGGCCCAGCATTCGCACCACTTTGTACACCTAATTTAGGGAAGTGCACTTTAGGCAGAAATTGTGAAAGTTTGAACATAAACCGCTTTGCACCGTGGCGACGCATCTCTCAACTGTATAGTACCGAGTAGCAGCTAGCTAAAAGTTCGAACTTCAACAAAAGTTCGAACCCCTAGTTGACACGCCCTTACATGGTTGGTCTGTTGCTTACTTCGAATCGATGTAACAGGATGTCAAACCTTTGTTAAAGTTTCTTACACTTTATTGATGTGTTTATATATTTCTGAACCGCACCGCAGTGTGCTTCTTTCTAAGTTGCATGTAATGCTATCTGTCCCTGTTTTACTTCCAAATCATTAATATTGGGGGTTTGTCCCTGTGCAGCTCAACCAAGCAACACATCCTATTTTTCGGGTGGATAAGCTTTCCACACCATAGCCAGTTATACAATTTGTGAGATGTGTGCTCTCAAACTGGATCATCTTACTGTGGCCTTGTTCGATAGCTTTGCAGTCCAGGGGAACCACAGCCCTTTCACTGTGTTGCGTGGCTCAGTAAAGGCTCGGCAGCTGCGAACATGGGCTTTAAACCCTATGAGAGGTTAGGCAGATCCAAACCAGAACCAAAAGTATGTTCGGTACACCTACGAATCTGGTGTGGTAATTTTCGCTGCGGACCGCGGTCCAAACACTGTTGCCCACTGGTCAAGCAACAGTACTCACCGGGCAAAAAATACTTGGTTTCCGCTGACAGCTAGAACGACAGTCACTGTGAAGTTGTAAACATTTCGGGCAGAAATGGTCTATTAGAATTTGTACCCGGAAACTTCGGGTGTACAATTTCCCCCTAAAGCAGTTCATTATTGGAATTCTTGGTCGCGTTTGTGGTCGAGGGTACACTGGGATTTGAAATGTTCATCTATTAATTACCGAACAGTAAGTTCAACACGTGTTATTTTTGAATTTTGTGTCACGTTCTTCCGTATCTTATTTTGCTAAGATCAATTGAATTGCGCACTGTGTACGCTTGTTTTATCCGTTGACTACGCGGTTCTGACTGTTGCGACTTGGGCTGTTCGGGCAGATGTCAAAACTTTAAACCAAGTCAAGTTGCATCTGGAAGGTAGTGACCCCAGGTTCGGAAACCCTAGGCCGACTCGGCTAAACTATGGTATTGCTGTACAAAAGAATGCAGTGCAATCGAACAAGGCCTGTATCAACAAATCAGCATGCCTAGATTGTGTTCTAAGAGGGTATCTATATTTCTGTTACGGGTGCAATGGATCGAGGTCAGGGCTCTCGCTAGGTTTTGGGGCTGTCTGACAATAGCCTGGAAAATTTTTCCCCCGTCTTATGCTCGGACGACGAAATTTTCATGGTCTGCATTATAAGCTGAAAACATTTTTCTAGTCTGATATATAAGACGAAAAAAAAAATCAGTCAAAAGTCAACCTACTGTAATCCTGCAGAGTCAAAAGTCAACCCCATCACCGTGCAGTGCATTGAGAACCGAAAGGCGCTGCGTGTTGGGAGCGGGGGGCACTACGACCACAATGCAAATGCGCTGGCACGAGACAACGCGTTGCCGTGGATGTGGCTGGCGTCGGTGCCGACAGCCAGCCACACGACGAACACTTGGCAGCATATGCCGCAGTTACATGACAGCGAGGCTGCTACTGGACACGCGTATTGAATGCGTGTGCAGTTACAGGGCAGCAAATGGCTGTACCTGTGGTCCTATCCTCGTCTACTGGGCATATGGCCTAGTGGGTCAAGATGTCGGTTTCAGACGAAACCGAACTCGATATCTGTATATTCAGATTAAGAATTCTACATGGTCTGGAAAATCATACGAACCTGAAACGCTTGTCTTACTGATCAGATGAGAAAAAACACAAAGTCTTAGGAAGCAGATGAATACAAAAAATCAAGTCTTAAACTCAGACCATCAGACCAAATTGGTCTGATAACGAGAACCCTGATCGAGGTAGCGAGGATTGCACTAAGGTGTCAAACGAGTACAAAATGTGAGCGAAGGCATGAGCGAACATTTATACGCGAAACATGCAAACGGTAACGCGGTGCGTGCGAGTTAGCTAATGCTACGCTGGCAGCGAGGCTCGGGCTAGTCCCGAAGCGTAGGCCGACACGGCCGGGCCAGCAGTGCGAGGTTTGGCAAAACAGTGCGCGCGAAGTTGGCGAAGCCCCTTTAGAAGTAACGGGCGAACAACGGTAGGTGCTGTACGCGATGTAGCCGGACTCCGTAAGGAATGCAGAGAAAATTCCTTACAACTTCCAACTCTAGGTGGAAACTTTACAATGCTTACCGCTTGTAGGAAAATGGATTTTTGTTGCAACAATATCTTTATTTCCTCTTTGAACTTACAACACATCAGATCAACCCAGCTACAGCATCTAAAGTTGCAAACCACGAACTGGAAAAAATCACAAACTTCCGAAATTCCATAACTTCAGCCTCCCATTGTGAAATTCAACCTTGGTGTAGCCTTGAAACGCTTGGCGACGTCCATTTAAGAGCAGTTGTTCGTAATGCAGTTGTTGTACTTCACCCCGCAGCTGCCCTTGTTGTCCTTCTTGCAGTGGTCGTAAAGCATCTTGCACAGCTTCTCGCAAGAAGGCGGCGGCGGCTTCGGCATCGGCGACTTGGGGGGGAACTTGCAGATCTTAAAGCGCTTGTAGGCCTTGGCAATGCAACTGTCGGTCTTGCTCTTGCAATCGTCCGTTGAGCACATGTGATCCCTGATGCACGCCTTGCGGCTTGTCATGAACTTCTCCATGCACGTCGGTTTCGGGGCTTCCTCCTTCAGAACGCGCTCGACTTCCTCCATGATCGCAGAGACATCTTCTGCGAGAATACGAGGGAATCCAAGGGAAATTTATGTCAGCCGGATAAAAAATGTGTAAACTGATTCATCACCGCGCATTCAGCTAAATTCACTGAATTTTAGACGTGGCACGTAATCCACGAAAAAAAGTCCTTACCAGGGACGGCATTCGCAGCGACGAACAGAGCCGAAAGCAGAACAAGCGCGCCGAGAACAACGGAAGTCCTCATGCTGTCTGTGGGGGTAGTAAGCCTCACAGAAAGTGGATTCGGTGAGGAAGGACGACTGGGAAATTCCGATTGCTGGTTTGCTAAATGAATTGCGGGTGCAGTTTATACACAATTGCGGATATGCTGCTGGGGCTGGAATCCCAACGTGGGCTGCAATGCCAATGAAATTCGAGGTCCAGCTTCGACGAACGGTTTGTTTGGGCATTATGGTTGGAAGAGGGGCTTGCTCGGTCTGAGCCGCTCTCGTTACGTGACCAGCCAGGCTCGGCTACTGGTTCTGGAAGATCCAGGCATGGGTGTGACCTGGACCTCCCACGAGCTTGGCCCGGGCCTGAACCTCGCTTGGTTCGGGTCCAGGGAATTGTGTGAATTTTTTCATGTTGAGACCAGGAGGGACACCTGAAAAATGAAGGGCCGGGGATTCGGGGAACTTCTCGAGCAATTCACCTCCATGAGTCACACACCTCAATAGCCCAGCAGCTGTGTGGTGGACCCTCCAGCCACCCGTCTTGGGTCCAATTCCCCCTTTGAAGCGCACATGTTTGGGGTTTTCCTAATGTATCCCCGCAAACCGATCAGCTTCGGTTTGCTCTGCCCACAAAACCTGGCTGCTTTGCCTCCAAACCAAGACACCTCCAAACCAAACCAAGTCTCCAAGAACCTAAAAGCATGAATCTGTACGCTTTGGCTGGTTTGGGGAGAGAAAGGCGGCGGCGCCACGGCGTGGGTAAGTTGCCTCGGAAGCGGCTGGATAAGAATGCTTGATTGGTCGAAGCTAGCAGCCGGGCTTGTTTCGTGACCAAGCATGACTATTGGTCGGAAGTCAGGGCAGCCCAGCTCCAGCCGCAGTTTTGATACTCTGGCACGCAATTCTGTATAACCTAATGCATATAACGATATATGCATTGTGAAGCTAATCTGTTGAGACAAAAGCTCCAAGTACTAATGGTATTTGCTTGGCTGTGCTATCCAGTCATTCCCCGTGATACAATATGGGCCTAAAACCCTTGAACCACTGTTCTTGACTAGCTGCTGTACCGTACCATGGCTCCTCAAGCCAGTGCTTTCTGCATCTGAAACTCCGACTCATATAAAGTTCACACACATACCAACACCTTTCCTCCCCAGCAGCCCTGCTATAGAACTACTACAGCATTGACCAAACAAAGAAGACAGACATCTACAGCTGCTGTGCTTCCTTTCATGGGACGTCATACAAACCTGACGGAGCAGAAAAAGGCACGAGGGGTGCCGACAGAGTAACATCTTAACCTTCAGATTGGAAAGCTCCCTTCACCAGTCATGCTTGGTATCGTTCTCCCAATGTGCCTCCAATCGAAGTCTTTTGGCCAGTGCCGCAGCTTCCCTAGCTTGCCTGCCGTGCCGAAGCTGGTCTTGTTCTTGCTGCTGGTGCTATTGCTGCTGCTGCTGTTGGTGCTGTTGTTTCTGCAAGTGCTACAGCTGCTCTTGCGACTTGATGTCGCTGCTTTCTGAAGTTACCATCGCTGCTGTTCTGTTGCTGTTGCTTCTCTTGATGCTGGTGCTGCTGCTGTTGCTTCTGTTGTTGCCGGCACTACTGCTGCTGCCACTGCTGCTTCTGCAGCTGTTGCTGCTGCTGCTGCTGCTGCTACAGCTGTTCTGATGCTACTGGTGCTGTTGCCGTTGCTGCTGCTCCCTGTTGTCATTGCTGCTGCTGTTGCCGTTGTTGCTGCTCGTGCTGGTGCGGGTGCTGTCGCTGTTGCTTCACACCAGCTGACACCTATAGCAGCCTGCATCCACTAAACATCGTCAGCACACCACCAGGACCTCCAACTTAGCAGCACCAATAAGCCCGCTGCTCAGACCAGGAGGCGCCAGTAGCCTTCGAGTCGACTCAAACAGTCGACAGCCCTCCTATGCTCCCCGAGCCGTTTTTCTCACCTTCGCACCAGTGTGGTCCGAAGCTCAGGCTCGGCAAGCACCCAACATCCGAACCAAACAGGTCCGGTATCACCAGCATGCAGCAGCACACAGCAGCACGGCCAGTCAAAAAGCTCGTCCTTTCTGCGAACACCTTCGCATCAAAACCCCAACCGTACGCACTCCTCACTTCCTCCCCCCTCCACCTCCCAGCCTCCCAAACACCTCGCCCCACCGAACCTCCGGCTGGTTCGGGAACAGCTTCGCAATCCTCGGGTCGGGGCGAGCCAGCCAGGAGCAGTAAACTCCAGCCGCAGCGAAAACTGCAGCCATGGACATGGCAGCGAGAGCAGTAAAGTGCTTTGGATCGTGCACTACTATGGCGAGTCCTAGCATGAGCAGCTCTGCCAGGCTGGCGAGGGCGATTTCGGTGGTGCCGATGAGATTGGCAGAGGCGGGGGGGATGGCTGTTTGGATGATCTGAGAGTCGACGATTTCAAACGTCCAGTGGCCCACTCGCGACAGCACCTGGAGAAACAGAGTAGGGAGCAGGTAGGGCGTGAGTAAGCGAAGGTGAGAATGTATATTTTGGCAGGGGTGAGGGTGTTGGTGGTGTGGATAATCTGCCAGTCGACGATTTCAAATGTCCAGCGGCCCACTGGGGAGAGCACCTGGAGGGGAAGGACGGGTGAGCAAAGAAGAACGAGCGGGCGAGAGACGAGCAGGACGTGAGGTGACGAGAGGTAATGAGAGATGACCATAGGCGACGAACTCAATCGATGTGAGTGGTGCATGAGGTTGAGAATGGGACGCTGAAATTGACGCTGTGAGTGTTTGCAACGCTTTCAGAGCGCCTCAGAAATTGACGGGGAAAGAATGACCAAGGGGAAAAGAGACGTCAAGGAAGGGGGAAGAGCGATGACAAAAGTTGGCGAGAGAAGGATACATCACTCGGAGCATAATTCGGCAAGAGCTGACTCACGACAAGTAGTAGGAAGAGCAGCACCAGCCCCTGCTGCAGCACTGGAGGGCAGCATGGGAGAGAGTGAGTGCATGGTATATGCATGTGTGAGAGAGGGAATTGCAAGCAAAAGGAGAGAGAGATGACTCACAACTAGGACGAGGACGAGCAGCATCAGCCCCTGCTGCAGCACTGGAGGGCAGTGTGAGAGAGACGAGAAGATGGCGACTGCAAGGGCAAGGAGAAGAGCTTGGAAGACTAGAGCTGCACTGCCAGCCTGGTTGGATGGAAAAGGCAAAGGAAAAGAAAGACAGGAGAGAATGTATGTGTGTGTGTGTGCGAGGGAGACAAGAGAAGATGGCAGAAGATGGTAACTGCAAGGGCGAACAGGAGAGCTTGGAATATGAGAGCAGCACTGCCAGCCTGGTTGGATGGAAAAAAAGGGCACGTGTAAGTGCGGACGAGATGGGATGGGATAGGATGAGATGGGGTGTGTGAGAGAGAAGAGAAGGTGGCGAATGCAAGGGCGGGCAAGAAAGCCTGGAAGACGAGAGCAGCACTGCCAGCCTAGATAAGGGAAAGGTGGATAAGGGGGAAGTGATGGGATTGGGGGGGTGTGGGAGGGTGTGTGAAAGAGGGGAGAAGGCAAAGATGCGAGGGTGAGGAAGGAAGGGTGCATGGAAGACGAGAGCAGCACTGCCAGCATAAACGGTGGCAGAACAGAGCCCATTCCCCTCCCACTGCCCACCATTGCGCCACACCGCACTGCACTGCAACCCCCCGCAACCACTCTGCACCGCACTGCACCCCCACTGCATCACAATACCTGTAGCACCCCCAGTCGTGCCACGAGCGGTGGCAAAACGAAGGTGGCTGCAAAGGCCATAGCAGCACACCCATTCCTCTGCACCGCATTCCCTCCCTCCCCTCCCCCCCACTGCACCGCACTGCACCATTACAACACAACACTGCACCCTTCCATAACCACACTGCACCGCACCGCACCTGTAGCACACCCAGTCGTGCCACGAGCGGTGGCGAAACGAAGGTGGCCGCAAAGCCCATGGCAGCACATGCGCCCCTGAACGCACCTATCACTGACATCTGCACACCTGGCAAATGGAGATGAAGGGAAAGAAAGAGAGGGTGGAGGGGGGGAGGGAGGGGGAGAGGGAGAGGAGGAAGAGAATTAAGTCGTCTTAAAAACGCTAAGCCCGTGGCAGCACATGCGCCCTTAAAGGCCCCTATCACTGACATCTGCACGCCTGGTGGTTGGGAAATAGGGAAGAGAAGAAAAGGAGGATGTGAGAAGTCCTCCTGGAAAGAGCACGGCATTGAAGAAGAGCAGCACGTAGGCTGCACTGGCGGGCATCACTGCCTGCTGCATAGAGGTACGGGTAGGGATGACTAGGCATGATGACTGCCTTGACTTGAACACTCACCATGTTGGGAGAGGAAGGACGTGAGCAGGCCTCCAGGCAAGAGTACGGGCTGGTTTTTGAGAATTCTCAAACTCCAGGCAAGAGTACGGGCTGGTTTTTGAGAATTCTCAAACTCCAGGCAAGAGTACGGGCTGGTTTTTGAGAATTCTCAAACTCCAGGCAAGAGTACGGGCTGGTTTTTGAGAATTCTCAAACTCCAGGCAAGAGTACGGGCTGGTTTTTGAGAATTCTCAAACTCCAGGCAAGAGTATGGGCTGGTTTTTGAGAATTCTCAAACTCCAGGCAAGAGTACGGGCTTTTTGAGAATTCTCAAACTCCAGGCAAGAGTACGGGCTGGTTTTTGAGAATTCTCAAACTCCAGGCAAGAGTACGGGCTGGGTTTTGAGAATTCTCAAACTCCAGGCAAGAGTACGGGCTGGTTTTTGAGAATTCTCAAACTCCAGGCAAGAGTACGGGCTGGTTTTTGAGAATTCTCAAACTCCAGGCAAGAGTACGGGCTGGTTTTTGAGAATTCTCAAACTCCAGGCAAGAGTACGGGCTGGTTTTTGAGAATTCTCAAACTCCAGGCAAGAGTACGGGCTGGTTTTTGAGAATTCTCAAACTCCAGGCAAGAGTACGGGCTGGTTTTTGAGAATTCTCAAACTCCAGGCAAGAGTACGGGCTGGTTTTTGAGAATTCTCAAACTCCAGGCAAGAGTACGGGCTGGTTTTTGAGAATTCTCAAACTCCAGGCAAGAGTACGGGCTGGTTTTTGAGAATTCTCAAACTCCAGGCAAGAGTACGGCATTGAAGAAGAGCAGCACGTAGGCTGCACTGGCGGGCAAGACTGGTCGCAGCAGATATAATCAGCATATATCACCCAACCACTGCACTTACCATGCTGCGACAGAAAAGAGGTCAGCAGGCCTCCAGGCGACAGCACGGCATTGAAGAAGAGTAGCACGTAGGCTGCACTGGCAGGCATCACTGCCTGCTGCACGTAACACCTCCACCCCTTCCCTGCTGCCTCTGCCACTTTCCCCACCCCGGCCGCTGCTTTATCGAGTGCTTTTCCTGCTGCCTCTGTCACTCTCACCAGCCCCACCACTGCTCCATCCAGTGCTTTCCCGACACCTGCTGGAGCACCAGGAGCAGCGGGAGCAGCGGCGGCGGGAGAAGCAGCAGCAGCAGCGGGAGCAGCAGCAGGGGCAGTTGCAGTGGCAGCAAGGGCAGCAGCAGCACCACCACAATCGCGACCAGTGCTGCACGCTCGCGGCAGCATGTGCCTGTGATGCTCACCACCTACCATCCCTGCTGGTGCATGCGGCACGGGCACAGGGTGCGAGCAAGAGCGGTGGCAGCAGCAGAGCGAGGCGAGCGGCTCTGAAGCTGGAGTGCTGCTGAATAGAGAGGACGTGGGAAGGGGGAAGAGCGGCGAGGTTGGCGAAGAGAAGGAATGAAGTGCATGGGACTTGTGTGGTGAAAAAGATGGGGAGGAGGTCTCTTGTTGCATCCATTCTCGATTATTCCATTTTTGAGTGTTCTCAACAGCACCGAGTGGTCGCAACGTCTTAAGGCCTTGGAGGGGGTACCAAGGCTCCTCCTGAGACTCGAATAGGTCTTCAAAACGGCAAGAGGGTTCTTCCCAGCCTTCGGCCTTGGCAAACTGGGATTCCTCAGAGGGCTGGGAGGAATTACAGGGCGAGGCTGAGGGTTCTTCTGCTGAGGCCGCGGGGGGTTTGTCGATAGGCCGGGGTCTGCTGAGCGCTCCGGTTGAGAGGCGGTTGGTGAGGGTGGTGAGGGCGAGCTGTGGCAAAAGGAAAAGAGGAAGGAAAAACCGCATGTCATCAAAGCCAAGGTACAAGGGACAAACTGGGACAGTTGATGAGGACAAGGCATGATCTGGCACAGACATATGCGACTTGAGGAAGGGGCAATTTACAAGATTCGAGGTCGTGCGTTAGGAGGCAAAGGCAGCGCAGCAGGAAGCACACCAGTGCTGGGAGGGGGAGAGCGACAAGGGTGTTTTCCAGGTGATTCATAAAACACTGGGAAACCAGATGGTAGAAGGAGAGAAAGTCATACCAGGGCAGGGAGGGAGAGAGCAACGAGGGCGACACAGGCTCTGGCACAGACAAGCGGGCCAAATGCAACAATGAGCCATCCAAAAATGAGTGGTGCTGCTACCTGATGAGATAGGTAGGGGGAGAGGGAGAGAAGATGCGGAGAGGGAAGGGGGGATGGGGAAACGTAGGTGGGAGGGAAAGAGAAGCAAAATCTCCCCTCACCTCGCAGCACAAATCCACGAGTTGAGTTTTGAGTCGACTCAAAACTCAAAACTCAAAACTCAAAACTCAAAATCTCCCCTCACCTCGCAGCACAAATCCACCCTTTGGATCGGAGCATGGCATTGGCGTTGACCAAAGCCACATCCCCTTATGTTGTCCTATAGAAACAGACAGTTAGCTAGCTCACAAACTTCTCAAGCCGCAGCACAGATCCAGCCTTTGGATCGGAGCATTTCATTGGCATTGGCCAGAGCCACGGGTTAACGACTCCCTATGAAAGCACTCACTGCTACGACCAAGCCACAAGCAAGCACCCACACACCCCCCCTCACCTCGTAGCACAGGTCTACCCTCCGGAGCATGGCATTGGCATTAGCCAGAGCCACAGTCCAATCATAACCCAGAACCGATTACCACCTCATTGAACACCCACCCACTCCCCCTCACCTCGCAGCACAGGTCTACCCTCCGGAGCATGGCATTGGCATTGGCCAGAGCCACGGGTCGATCCTGTCCTGCCAGCTGGGGAACGGACCCAACAAGGTCAAAGGGACAAGGGAAGAGGAGGAAAGGAAGGGACGAGGGAAGAGGAGGAAAGGAAGGGACGAGGGAAGAGGAGGAAAGGAAGGGACGAGGGAAGAGGAGGAAAGGAAGGGACGAGGGAAGAGGAGGAAAGGAAGGGACGAGGGAAGAGGAGGGAAGGAAGGGACGAGGGAAGAGGAGGGAAGGAAGGGACGAGGGACGAGGAGGAAAGGAAGGGACGAGGGAAGAGGAGGGAAGGAAGGGACGAGGGAAGAGGAATGAGTACGATTAGAGCTGGGGAACGGGAACAAGTAGGTGGTCCAATAGAGAAGGAAGCGGAAGGAAACCAACAAATCCCTCCCTCACGCTAACACTCACCACAATCACCCAGTCTTGCTCGAACGCCACTCCCGAGGCCAATCCAGTGAGCCTCTCAACGACAGACTCTCTTGCACGTGCACTCACACTCACAGTCACACCCACGAGTCAACTCCTACACACCCCCCCCCTTCACACTCACCACGATCACCCAGTCTCGCTCAAACGCCACTCCAGAGGCCAATCCAGTGAGCCTCTCCACAGCGCCAGCCACCACCAGCACCACGAACCACACTTGCAGCAGCACAGCCGTGCCGGGGAGAGCAGCCAGCGCTGACGTGGCAGCTGACGTGGCGGCTGACGTGGCGGCTGCGCCTGCAGCAGCTGGGGCGGCGAGTTGAATGGCGTGTATGGTGGCTAGAGCTGCTACTACCATGGCAGTGGTCTGCGCATGTATGAATAAATCATGGGGACGAAACGGCAAAAAAAAAAAAGATAAGTGGGGGAGCAATGGAATGAGCGGGGAAGAAGATTGAAGTGAGAGGTTTATATGGTGGCGAGTGCTGCTAATAACCATGGCACAAGTCCGTCTATATGGAGGATAAGAGGTTGAGATTAGGGTAACAGGGAATGAAGGAGAAAGGAAAGCCTCATTTAACGACCAGCAGAAACCACATCTATCGCAATTCACCTGAAAGTCACCTGAAAATCAACCTGAGAAGTCACCTGAGCAACAGAGATGATGCTGAATGCAGCCACTCGAGGAGCGGAGTCCATAAGCTCTCCCACTAGGGGTGCGCCTATAAATACCACCAACTGTAGGGAGGGGGCAAGGAGGGGGGGGAAGAGAGAGGGTGAGTTGAACGCAGCTACACAGGGCATACCACCTACTGTGGAAAGCGAGGGTGGGATGAAAGCAGCCACACGAGGAGCGGAGTCCATAAGCTCTCCCACGAGGGGCGCGCCTATAAATACCACCAACTGTGGGCAGGGGAAAAACGGGGGGGAAGTGGTTCAGAATGGACTGGAGAGGGCATGGAATGCATGAAGTCGAGGTTCCTTAATGCTCGCCCATGGAAGGCGTGCCTATGAAAGAGGTTTGGACAGGAATGGAGACGTGCCTATGAAATACAAAAATGCATCAAGTCGAGGTTCCTGAATGCTTTGCTATGGGAGGCGTGCCTATGAATATGTGCATGCATTTGGGCACATGCGGAGTGCGTGAGTGAGTGCTAGAGGCTTACTTGGCTGACGAAGCTGGCTACAGCCACGGGCAACAGCGAGTGATGCAGGAGTGCTAGTAGCGCTGCTCCTGCGAACCGCCACGAGTGCTCGCCAAAGCAGTTAAACACGTACGTCCAATAGAATGCTGCAGCGGTAGGGAGGGAGGGAAGAGGGGGGGCAAAGGGATGATGGAATGGGGAAAGGGAAAGGAAAACAGAAGCAGTTTAAGACGTAGACATGCAAAAAGGAAGAGATAAGGGAAGGAAAGAACGAGGGAAAGCAATGGAAGAAAACGCAGTTATATGGAACCAGCCTTGTCACCTCACAACGCTACTCAACACTACTCACCTTTCAACGCAGAAGGATGAGCAGCCTCGACAGGCTCGGCAGGTTCGGCAGGTTCGGTAGAATGGACAGGCTCGGTAGTCAACACAGACGACGCCTCTTCCAATGATAGCTGTCCCGCTTCCTCCTCCACCACATGCTTCTCGCCCCCCTCCCCCTCAGCTAACTTTCGCTGTAGCGAGTGGAAATACGCTATTTCTGCAAATTCATTCTGTTGCCAACTCTGAAGCTGCTCCTGCTGTCCCTGCTGCAGCTGTTGTATTTGAAAATCGGGCAGCACAAATTCGTTACAAGCGCAAGACGAGTCGTCTAATAGCGGGGATTCTTCCCTCAGCAGCGGAAGGGCATCCGGAATAATCAACTCCTCCCCAGAACCCTCACCCGTCACCCCTCTCTCCCACTTCCCAACTCCCCACGCCTCACGCTCAGAATCGCTTCTGTCTACATTCACGAGGGAATCGCGCCGTTCGAACCAGTTCACCCAATCCTGTAACGAATCCAGTGATTCGTCTCTTAACGAGGATGACCACCCGTCCAGGTCGTTTGGAGCCACCAAAACGTCTGGCGGCAATCCCAAGGGGTTGAACGAATCCGCATTGGGAATGTCGCCTCGTCCGCTCGACTCCGTAACAGAAGCCACGTCAGCTTGCGCCAGCACTCTCTCTAGCTGCGCCACGTCATCAGCCCCAGGCACGAAATTCGCATCTAAATCCAAGGCCCCGCTAATGTCACAATCAAGCACCGCCCCTGCCGCCGCCGCCGCCGCCGCTGCTGCTGCTGCTCCGCCATTCGTTACAATCGCGCCACACAAACCCGCCGCCATATCATGGCTCGTGAACCCCCCCGAACCGACGGTACTGCTACTGCTGCTGCCGTCATTCTCACAACTGCTGCCTCTGCCGTCGCTGCTGCTGTCCCTTACACAAGTGGTGTTGCTGCTGCTCCCGTTGCTCCCGTTGCTGCCGTTGCTCCCGTTGCTGCCGTTGCTCCTGCTGCCGTTGCTGCTGCTCTGATCGCACGACTGATCAATCCGCGCCTCCACCGCCTCTTGCACCGAGACTCGGCTCTTCAGCGCGCGCCGCCGGCCCTTCAACGCGCGTCGCGGTGTCCTGCCATTGAGGGAACGGGGTCACAACTTGACGCGTCACATACCTGAATCCTTAAAAAAAAAAAAAAAAACAGTGATCACTCACACATGTCCTAAATACATGAATTTCTTAAGAAATCTAATAGCTGTAATCACTTACATGGGTGCAGACGAGTTACGGTGCTGGCCGGTCCTCGTTCGTGATTGGCTACCGAACGCCGATCGCCGAAACGATCGCCCGTGCGACGTCCGTGCGACCGGGCCAAGTGCTCCTATGCGAATCGCCGAAGAGCACTGCAACAAACGCGGCGATGGAGGCGAACCAGCGCATGTTGGTAACGTGCGAAGCGAGCGAACGCTAGCGACGCGCGAAAGGAGGCACGGCGACGAGAGAGGTGAGGAGCGACCTGTACGTGCCGAGTAAAGTCGCCTAGATGAGTCGCATGCGAAACCCGGCGACGCTCCGTCGGCGTTTGCGACCAAATGCGAAACTCTCGACAATCGAGTGACGTTTGGAGAGCTCAAACTTCGAGCCGCGGACCCCACGAAATCGTCAACACAGATTTCACAGGGTAAACTACCCGAGCCTAGCCCCGAACCACCCGAACGCCGTTCCGAACCACCCGAACGCAGCACCGAACTACTTGGACCCAGCACCGAACCACGCGAACATAACTGCGGCTGGGAGCTACGACGATTCTCTTCGCTTCTCGCCAAAGAACGTTTCGCTAAAGCATACTCTTCAGATTCTCTCCCGGCTGGTGGTGCCAGTTTAAGCCTGTTGCAACTGCTGGTAAGAGGACTGCCTGTGTAAAACGTGTTGCGCAGAACAGACAGGTCTGCGTAACGAGCTTTTTTCCTCAACAAATGAGTTTTTTCCACGACTAGGGCGTTGATTGAGAGAGAAACAGAAGAGATGATGGGTTGGGCGCCGAGGAGCGCCATGGGGGAGACTGAGACGGGACGCCAGGAGGAGAGTGCGGGGGGGAGCGCGAAGTGGAGCGCGGAGAGGAGAGACGAGGGGAGAGACGAGGGGAGCGACAAGGGAAGGCAGGAGGGTAGGAGGGAGGGGTGCCGAGAAGGCCCTCATATACGAGTTAGGTACCAGGGTGATGGGTTTGGAACAGACTTCTATGGATTCTCTATGGATTCTCAAAAGTCGTTCGGAGGAGGCCCTTATATGCAAGCTAAGGACCAGGGTGGCTAGTACGAAGTAGGCCTGTATTGGATGTGAAGCAGCTGTGCTGCTAAGAGGACTGCGCGCGAGTTTATAACACTATAACGCAGCAGGGCTTTGCCGTCACGAGCGCATTGGAATTCGAAAGGTGATTCAACGCCGGTTAACGCTCTTAACGGAAAGCTCGTGCAATGGCTTTATGCGGGGACCGCATAAAATAGGTCGCGCAGACAGGAGCGAGAATACAGGTCTGTTTTGAAATCAAGAACAGCAACTCTGAAACAGCAGTAGTGGATAATTAGCTAGCGGAGAATTTAGGGTAAGCAAAATGGAGGGGAAGCGGGAGAAGAGGAGGGGAGGATGGGCCTGTGGAAGGATGAGCGGGGAAAGGGGGTGGCCTTGAAATTAGTTTGGGAGAAGTGCTACACGGTTCACAGAGTTTTAAAACGTTTGAGAGGTATGTGGGTTGAGGGAAGGTTCGAGAGAAAGAGAAGGATGGCGCGCGTGCGGTGGAGACTTGACTTTCTTGGGAACAGAGGAGACTGGCGGAAGCGGGTGGACACGTGTTCCGCAGAAGTGGTGGTGTAATAGGATTGGTGAGGGTGTTGGGGGGCAAAGGGCGGATGGGTGGGGCAGGTCGGGAGGGAAAAACGGGCCAACATCACAGGCATGCAAAACAGTCTGGTAACCCTATTCGATTGTATGCAAAACCGTCGATACCCCAGTTCCACTGCGCAAATCTGTCTGGTACCGCCACTCAAAACACTGTGTGACATCTGACGCAGCACAAAAAGGAAGCAATACGTGCAACATTCGAAAACGTTTTCAATTTCGTTTCAATCTATTCTTATCGCGCTTTGTTTGGCGCCTAACAACGATTCCTGTGGACAACTATTTTCCGTTGAATGTGCACGATAATTCCGACAGAAATAATCGTTGGAATGAGAGTAATATTTATATTGCTGCCGGAAACTGTTAGGGCATGCATAAAAAAATAAAACCCCTAGGGACCTGGACTCATTTCAGGGAGGGATCAACCCTAAACACGGGAAAGGGCATTGTTTTTAGGGTTGATGCCTCCCGAGTCGCATCCCTTTCCGATTGGGTTTTATTTTTCCTGCAGGTGTAGCTACCAGTGTTGCTCAAATGGCAGAACAATCGCCCGAATAAATCAAAATTTGAAAGGAAACAAACGCGTGGTAAAAATCAGTTATTGAAATCAACAGAACCGCAATTCTAGCGCAAATGTCAATACCTCCAAAACCGCGGTATCGACGGTTTTGCATACAATCGAATAGGGTTACCAGACTGTTTTGCATGCCTGTGATGTTGGCCCGGGAAAAACAACAAAATGGTGGTCCCATGAACCAATCCAAGGGGCAGGGGAGAGCAGCGCGGATGAGGGGCGCTTTGCCACGTCATACGGTTCTTGGATTCCAGTCGAGTTTGCGCCACTGTTTTGCTGCCCTGCCCGCTGTCGCAACAAGTCAGCAAAGTGGATTTGGCCTGGAGGTTGGCTGACAATGCGACGAGTCGGCAGCGACTGGCGATGTGATGTACGACCGAATCGACGAAGGAAAAGCATCCCAGAAAAGAACCGAATATGAAGAAACTTATTCGCGAACGCCGACGTGGCATATGTGCTGCTGTTCGTTTCGCTCGCATCCTCTTGTTGAGGATATCGAGCTTCGTGGACGAATCCATGGGACTTGGCGGCGGACTTGTTGCACGCATATCATTGGCCACTGAAGAAAAACGCCAAACTCTAGGGCCTTGTCACACAGGTTAGGTTCGAGAGTGCCAAAAGGAAGGAATTATCGAATTATCGCATCGAAAACCTAATGTAACGCGTAGAAACATAAGATAACCGTACGAAACCGAAGTGACGAAAGAAGCTAAGCTGGTTCGGTCCGAAGCTGACAAACCAATTTGAGGGAATTTCCCCCAAAGAAACAGGAAGTTACAGCGTGTAGCTTTTCCGAGCCAGGAAGGTCGGGCTAGAAGCTACAGCGTTTCTGCGAATTAATCCAATGGAGTGGTAACTGGTTTCGTAACTCCTTTGTATTCAGAATGTAATGGTCAAACCACACAATTTGAGGCAATGTAAACAATAACCATCCACGTTCCAAGGAATCCTCATAACAGTGTACCACAAAGATCATCCTCATATCAAGTGAGGCGATTAGGGCGTGCATTCCTGCTAGCACGGCTTGCAACACTTGCACGGCGGGCACGGCTGGCACGGCTGGCACGACTAGCACGGCTGGCACGACTGGCCTGACTCGCCGTGCTGCTAGCATTGTGTCCACTCACGTTGGTGTATGGAAAAGTGATTCCATCCGGGCCAGAGCCGCCAATGCCAATGCCACCACCACCGCGTCCTGTCAGAATCTCCGCTGCCTCTCCCACCTCCCCCCCAACACGGCCAGTCACTGCCTCCGCCGCCTGTCCCACTTCCCCACCAACACGTCCCGCTGCCGCTGCCGCTGCCGCTGCTGCCGCCGCCGCCGCTGCTGCCGACTCCTCCCCACCAGCACCGCCTGTGCTGCCACCATTGCAGCTGTCGCCACCGGCAATGCGGAGGAAGGGTGGGAGAAGAGACCAGATGCCTGAAAGTGGTTGGTTGACGCATGGTGGCTGCAGTGATGGCACAGATGTCGATGATGGTGACGATGGTGGGGATGGTGGTGATGATTCTGGTGGGGTGAATGCAACAGTGGGGGGGCTGGGAGGAGACGGCCCCCCGTGCGGGAACAATCCACCGAAGAAAGACCAGATGCCGGACAGAGGGTTGTTGACAGGTAGTGATGGCAATGATGTCGGCAATGATGTCGGCAATGATGGCAGTGATGGCAACGATGTCAGCGATGTCGGTGGTGGCAGTGGGCTGGATTCAATCGTAGGTGTATTGGGAGGTGACGGCCATCCTTGGCGAGAGAAAATAGCCGCCTGAGACGAGATGTTGGAAAGAGATTGATTTCCACCGCTGCCACCGCTGAGCGCACCACCACCACTGCCAGATAGAGAGTTAAGGGGAACTTCTGGCAGTGGCTCTGCTGGAATAGAGTTGCTGGAACGCGATTTGTTTCCACTGCCGTTGCTGCTGCCACCCCTCAGCCCATCAGCACCAACGCCAGACAGAGAGTTGAGGGGAACTTCCGTCAGGGGCTGTGCTGGAATTGAGTCGCTCAGAGTACGGTGCCTGACAAGCGAACCATCAGGAATTTCACGAGCATCATGTGTGGTTCCGCGATTCCCAAGCGCCTTGCCACGAGATGCCAATGCTCCGGTTGATCCTGCGACCACAGTTAGGAGATTCAGAAAATTTGGGAGGGCAATTAAAAAGAACTCAAAAACAGTGCATCCGTGACTAACGACCTGCTGCAAGGACTAGAGCTGGTTACAAGAAAGCTGGTTACACGTGAGGAAACCAAAAAAAAAAAAAGCCACAGATTATGCAAGCAGCATGAAGTCACCTGACAAAATCAGCGCGCAGAGGATCAGTGCAGTCGGCCCGGTAAGCGATTTTAGCGACGCCATTTTCGTCAGGATAGATCTTTGGCACAACACTCAGACTTGAAAAACTTTGCTCTGCTGACTTCAAGCTACGAGCCCTTGTCTTTATACCAGCGGAAGGCACTGAACCATCCGGGTTGAAGGATGGACTTCACCGAGGCGGATTCTGCTTGACTTCTGTCACGTCTACCTGTCGAGACGGCCGTCGTCGCGACAGGCAACCCGGCCGAGGAAGGCCATCCGATTGAATTTTGCATATCGGCAGGGGTGTCACGTCAACCCGAGCTGATACCCCCTTCGCGTTCAAGAGGTTTGCCTGAAATAGGTTACGGGACATCACTACTTTGAGACGCCTTACTGCTTTCACGTGACACGAACCGCATCATGATAGCGAACCTATCTATCAAGAGTTTGCACAGGATAGTGCTACATCACGAGATTTTTTCCATTGGAGAGAAAGAAACTCGAATCGGCTCAATAAACTCGTGCAAGCAGTCCAGAAGGCAAGATGGCATATCGCTTGATCGCAACATTCTCTTGCTTGCGAACCAGTTCTCGGCTTGACTCGAAAGTGAGTGGTTCCAAGGCTCGAACTTGGAAATTCCACTCTCTGCACGCAAGCAACAGTTGCATCCAGAATCGCTAGGCTGTTTCCTCACGAGACCATCCAGCTAACAGGTCCATGGACCACGCTTGCTTGCTTGTGGCTGGGGCCCGAGCGCTGATGGAGTCCCCAACCCCAACGCGGAGCTGCAAGCACACATCTAACCTTGGGAACAGACGAGACAGGACAGGAGTAAATGCTCGGTTCGGTTCGGTTGTGCAAGATGGTAAGTAGGGCTTGGGGCACTTGATTTGCGTGCAGTGAGTTATATTACGGTGCAGGGCGATGACTGTTCGAGCTGATATCAGAAGTTCAGACATTCTGCGATTTGTTCGAATCCTGAGTGCTACTACACGAACAATGCTACATCATATCATACAACACTTACCATTTCTTTGCTGTGAGCTACTAGGACCTGGACTATGGTAACATGTTTCTAGAATCTAGATATGGGGGGCAAGGGCCCCTTGAAAGCAGGGAATGCATCCTGACGTGTCTAGACACACACAATGGCCACATGTCAGGCAAGACACGGCTGCAAGTCAAATATTGGAGATAATAGTGAAAATAGCACGTAGTCAAACCAGTTAGGAGAAAAGAGCTGCCAAAAGCTCCATAGCCTGTAAAATCAACACGAGCCAGAAAGCAGGCACAGTAACAAACAGACGCCACACCATCCCAAGAAGGAACATTGCAGCCTCGGTCAGCAATAACACAACCAAGAAAGAAACATACCAGCAAAAACACACTAGAATTTGAAAGCCACAAGCAACAATCAAAAGCAAGCAACTACTCACAGCCACACGCACCTTTGGATGGAGAGTGGGTGGGCCCGATCGCAACACATTCCGCAAGTACCGCATGCCTCCGCTGTTCCGAATATTGCTTCTGTGCGTCGGGCTGTGCTTCGCCAGCTGCAGCAGCGCCTCCACCGCGTCCCTCACCGCCGCAGGATAATCCAGCCGTAACACGGTTACCAGCGACGGGATCGCCTCGCCCATCGCCTCCCTCCCGTCCGGCACCGTCGCCAGCCGTGACAGCGCTTGACACGTGGCGACCACTGTTTCGTTGTTCAGATTCGCCTGCAGCGCCACCGCCAGGGCAGGAATCACCCCTTCCCCCACTAGCTTACTCCGCTGCGACTCGCACTGAGCGAGACACGCGACAGCCTCTGCTGCAGCTTGCCTAGACGGTGTATCATACCCCGGATGCATCCCTTCGTGGTTCGATCCGGTGAGCTGCTTCACGAGGGGTGGGACTGCTCCTGCATCGATAACCAACCCCCGGGCGCGGTCCGAAAAGGATGCGGCACATTTCATGACATTCGCTGCAGATGAGCCGGCTGCAGGGGAGAAATCGGCGCGTTTGAGCGCCTGAATCAGCAGCGGGAGGTGCGTGAGCAGCTCCTGTTTCCCCATCTCATCTGACGAGAGGTTTAGCAGCGCAGCAAGCGCGGATTCGGCTCCCTTTGGATCCCTCGGCCCTCCCACAGCCAGCGGCAGCAGAGCATCTACAGCACCAGCTTCTCGAAACGTCGATCGGTTCGCAGCTGAGATGGACGCGTACCAGCCAACGAGCCCCGCCGCCCGGCCCTTCTCCTCCGCCGACCCAAACAGCAGATTCTGCACGATCTGCTGCGGAGCCTCGGGATCGTATGCCGCCAGGTCAGCTTCAGGATCGGAGCATTCCGCACCTGTCCCGCCGCCGCCCCCCTCCCCACCAAACTCCCCTCCCATTCCCCCCATATCCCCGTTCCCTCCGGGTTTATCCACACTGCTAGTACGTCCAGTCTTGGATCGGCTCCGTGACCCGCCACTGACGCTGCTAGCAGAGCTGCCTCCACTGCCCGTCTTCCCCATCTTATCCTTCTCTCTCCCACTCGAACTACCAGTGCGAGCCCTCGTCGGGTCATCCATATACTCCAAATCGTCGCCGCCCTTCCGGCCGCCCATGTCAAACGGTGACTTGGAGCGGGCGTCGCCTGCGCCTGCCCCCCCAGTGCTTTTCGAACCTGGCATACCAGTGCCGGAAGCGGGCTCGTCTTTGCCTCGGTCCCTCCGCTCGGTGCTCCTCCGGTGCTCTCTCTCCCCTCGCACTGCTCTGTTCCGGTCCTTGTGCCGATCGTCATCCGTCCGCCCGCCTCCATCCCCCTCCCCATCCCTAAACCGCGAATGCTGCTGCTGCTGTTGCTGGGTCTGCGCATCGTACCTATCATGCGCCTCCCCACCGCCCTCCGCACCTGACCGCCTGCTTCGGCGCTCCCGACCGGCCAACCCGCTGCCACCACTCCCAGTGAGCGACAACCCAGCAGCGTCCCCAGTCATATCATCCATAGCGTTCGCAAGCAGCATCATGCGGCGGCGGGTGGGACTGAGGAGCTCTTTGGGCGACTTGGGCACGGAGGAGGTGCCTGAGAGGCCGCTGCTGCCGCGCTGCCCGCCGCCTGAGCTGGCTGCTGCTGCTGCGGAGGCTCTTTCGCGGGCCAGCTTTGCCTGGGACTCTTTAAAGGCGGGGAGCTCGCGCTCCATGCGCATCAGAATGGTGATCAGCTGAAAGAGGAGTAGAGTGGTATGGGGACAGGGGCGGGGGTTGGGAGGGGTGAAAACAGGGCAAGAGTGGCAATGTAGGCGGGCTTCGCCTGGGACTCCTTGAAGGCCGGGAGCTCGCATCCATGCGCATCAGGATGGTGATCAGCTGGGGTGGTGGTGTGGGGAGGGAAGGGGGCAAGGGAATAAGATGGTGAGACTGTGAGGGCGAGCTTCGTCTGGGACTCCTTGAAGGCGGGGAGTTCCCGCTCCATGCACATCAGGATGGTGATCAGCTGGGGTGGTGGTGTGGGGAGGGAAGGGGGCAAGGGAATAAGACGGTGAGACTGTGAGGGCGAGCTTCGTCTGGGACTCCTTGAAGGCGGGGAGTTCCCGCTCCATGCACATCAGGATGGTGATAAGCTGGTGGGGGGGTGGGGGATGGGGGTGCGGGTGGGGGTGAAGGCACAGGGGAGAGAATGTGTCAAGGTGGGGTTGTGAAGGAGCTTTGCCTGGGACTCCTTGAGGGCGGGGAGCTCTCGTTCCATGCGCATCAGAATGGTGATTAGCCAGTGAGAGAGTGTACAACGGTATGGTATGGATGGGTGGGGTTGGGGGTGCGGGTGGGGTGTGGAAGAGGATGAGAGGCAGCTTCGCCTGGGACTCCCAAAAAGCAGGCAACTCGCGCAGGATGGTTACCAGCTGGTGGGGTGTAGGATGGTTACCATCTAGTAGGGCGCAGGATGGTTACCAGATGGTGGGGCGCAGGATGGTTACCAGATGGTGGGGCGCAGGATGGTTACCAGATGGTGGGGCGCAGGTTGGTTACCAGCTGGTGGGGTGTAGGTTATGGTGAGGGTTTGGGTGGGGAAGGTGGGGATGGGGGATTGAAGGGTGTGAGGGAGCTTCTTCTACCTCTCCTTCCCCGCACCTCCACCCGATTTCCCCCTGTCACCCTTTCCCATCGCATTGACCTGATCCCTACACACCTTCTGCACATTGTCACTGCTCTCCACAGATTTCCTTTCAGCCTCCCAAATCCCTTCCTCCCCCCACTTCCACCTTCCCATTTCCACCGCCCCAGTTACCAGTTCCCCACACTGACCTGATTCGTCAGCGCCTCCTGCACATTGTCGCTGCTCTCGATGGTTTTGCGCTTCTCCAGCGCCAGCGCCAATTCACCCACCTTTTCCCCCTTTTCCCCCTTTTCCCCGTTTCCCCCCCACTGACCTGATCCATAAGCGCTTCCTGCGCCTTGTCCCTGCTCTCCGCAACTTTACGCTTCTCCAGCGCCAGCATCAATGCTAACCCTTCCCCACCCAGTCTCCACTCAACTTCCCCTTTTATACTTTCCCCTCCTCCACTGACCTGATCCATGAGCGCTTCTTGCACCTTATCCCTGCTCTCCGCGGCTTTGCGCTTCTCCAGCGCGAGCACCAATCCCCCTACGTTTCCTCCCCTTACCCCCATTTTTAGCCCATTCCCCCTTCCCTCGCCCACTGACCTGATCCATGAGCGCTTCCTGCGCCTTGTCCCTGCTCTCCGCGGCTTTGCGCTTCTCCAGCGCCAGCGCCTCCTGCTCCTTGCGGAACGCGCCCCCGCCGTCCATGCCCAGCGCGTCCGCGAGCTGCCCCGCGGGGAACTGGCTCTGCGTGTAGGGGGTCCCCAGGCTGCTGCTGCACCCAAACAGCTCCCCCTACCCATTTCCCCCCCTCCCCTCCCTTGCCCTACCCCCTCCTTCTCACCTTCCCTTCCCCCCCATTCTCCACCCAACCAGCCAAAAGGTGAAGGATCAGGAGGGAAAGAGAACGTGAGCGCGCACCTGATCCATGAGAGCCTCTTGCGCCTTGTCCCTGCTCTCCGCGGCTTTGCGCTTCTCCAGCGCGAGCGCCTCC